AATTGTCTATCTGATGTGTTTTGCCACTGATTTAACATCTTCATTTAATGACTACAAAAATACATATATAAGAGTTTTCCTGGGCCGGCCAAGTGGCTCAGTTGGTTAAGAGCTCACCTGGGAGCACCAGCTCTGAGCAGCAGGGCCCCGGTTCTGATCCCACATTAAGGGCCAGTGACACTGCGCCCTCTACAGCTAAGATGATGAACAACAGATCGACTTGGAGCTGGGCTGCTGTAAGTCGCCAGCGACGGCGTAAGCTGCAGCGGGGCTGCAGTGGGTAGCCATGAGTTACATGAGTGGCTGGCCGCCAGTGAGAGCTGCTGTGAGCCGCAGTGAGCGGCCGACCAATGACCGGTGACCGATTGCCTCGCCTGGGAAGAGCACAGTGATCATACCAACATGGGCCAGTGAAGCGATGTCCTCCACAACTAGACTGAAAAACAAAACAGCAATTTGTCTACCTGTCTGTTCCCTTTCCTTGATTCCCCAATGCTGTTCCCCTCCCCCAATTCCCCAATAAAATCTTTAAAAAAAAAAAAGTTTTCCTAAATTCATAATCTCAGTCTCCCTAACCCTGCCATGAGTAACTCTTTTCTACCAAGAACTCTTCTAGGTGGTAGTAGCAGAGATAAATACAGCAAAGTGCCTGCAGCCACGGAACTTAGAAGAACAGATTTAGAAGGGAAAAAAACGTACATATATTGGGTTGTCGGAAAAGTCATGACATATTTTTCTGTTTTTCGTTGCAAAAATGTGTCATGACTTTTCTGACAACCCAATATATAAGCACCATACCATATACAATTACATGGGTGGGGGGCGGTGTTTGGGGGGGGGTGTGCGTGTGTGTAAAAGGGAGAGTAAAATGATAGAAATCGATCATAAGGCACTCAAGAAAGGCATCTCTGAGAGGTACAGACCTGAATGAAGCGAGGGAGACCTACAGAAAGAGAAGGAATATTGTAAGGAAACTAGCCATACATTGATGTGGAGGAAGAACATTCAACACAGAACAATAATAATAAGTACAATACAAAGGCCCTAAGATGAGAATTACTACGGCATTTTCAGAGAACAACAACGAGCCCAAGTGGATACAGGAAAGTGGAGATGAGATCAGGTAGCTATCAGCAGGAGCCTGATCATATAGGGCTGGCTTAGCAGGCCACGGTTAGGATTTTATCCTGAGTGTGATGTGGAGCTAAAGAGCAGAGGGTGTTGTGAATTAATTCATTTTTAAAAGTGCATCCTGGCTGCTGTATACAGAACTCAATGTAGAAGAACAAGGAGAGAAGCAGAGACACAAGTCAGGAGGGTATTCTATAATCCTAAACAAGAGGTGGTAGTAGTTTAGACTTGAAGGTTGCCGAGAAGCTATTGAGAGTTGGGTTTGGGGTCCATTTTGCTAATGTATTGGATATGGAGTATATGGGGAAAAGAAGTCATAGAAAAAAGTTTTCAGGATAAAAACTGAAATTACACAATAATTTGCCTACCAAAAATATTTTCCAAATTATAGCCTTTATGGTTGGTGTGCTGGTGGTTGGCTTTCACCACTACCAGTTCACCCTTCCATAGTCTCCTCCTCTGCACTGCTAGAAGTTAGAAACCTGCAAAGTATATTTCCCAAACCCCCATGCAAGCTAACACATTAGGTTTGGCCAATGGGAGCCGATGTTAGATTAAGAGGCAGGAGATAAAGAGAAGCCACTTTTTTCCTGCTTCAGTCTGACACAGCCATCAGTGAGCAGCTGTGAGTTAGGCCAACTTTCAGCAGCACAGTGACCATTCCAGGAAGTGTCAATGGGACTGCAGGCTCCTAGTCTTTTAAGAGCAAACAAAGAATGCAAGCTCCTGGCTTCGGGTTAGGTAACAATGAAAGTATTTTTAACAGTGCAGTACTTAGGGGATCTGGTATCACCCCTTTCACTTTTGTTCCTCCAGCCCTCAGGGCAATAGCTACTTTCCACATTTACTAATCTCTAAATAGCATTACCTTGGCTTTTTATATTCCTCCAACTCTTTCAACACTTTTGTGACCAATTCACTATACTAAAACCTTCCTATCAGAAATACCCTAAGCGGTCTCTATTTTCCTGACTGGATGCCAACAGATACAGTAAAGGAAGAACTATTACTCTCCAGAGTCTACTTTCACACATTTTGTTCTTCACAACACTCTTAGATATAGGTATGGCAAATTCCATTATTCCCTTTTTATAGAACACTGAACTGAAAAATGAAAGTAATTAAGTAAATTGACCAAAATTATACAGTCCATAATAGTGGAGCCTATTTAGACAATCTAACAATCTAAGTTGTCTCAGTCTAAATTCTATGTTTTTCTTTACTACGTTCAAGTCAAGAAAAATTGATTACTTTCAATTTTAGAAAAGAAAAAAAAAATTATTGGATTCAGTTCAGGAAACTGTGCACATTAACAGCACTAGCACTAAAAAGACCAATCTCTATCCTCCTAAAGCAAACTGTACTTATATATGAATTGCTTCAAACAAACCTGTATTAAAGATTTAATTTACTCTAAGAAGGTGATTTATAAAATACTTTGAAGGAAGATGTATTGACAAGAAAGCTTCCAACATACATTTAAACAATTTATTTACCAAAAGTTTATCCTAACCATAACTTTTCATATGTACAGCTATAACAAAGAGCAAGGTGTTCTTAAATAAAGCCATAAGACTTACTGATTTAAAGAATATAGCAGAAACAGGACTATTACAAAGGATACTATATTATTGAGAAAATGTTTAACCTATTACCTTAATTTAAAATAAAAAATTTTTGGCCTTTGAGCCTCTGAGCCGCAGCCTTTTGAGCCACTTCTTTTGCTCAGGCCGGCTCCTAACTTTTTGGAGTGTACTATCTCTTTCAATAAACTTCTCTTTACCACTTTAAATAAATAAGTAAGTAAATAAATAAATAAATAGATAGCTTTTACCAAAAACAAAAACGAGAAACAAAAAAATCTCGGTATATCTTTTAAGAAGTTTAAATCCAGGGCAGGCCAAGTGGCGCGATGGTTAAGAACTGGCTTGGGACGCCAGAGGGCCCCGGTTTGGATCCCACATATGAGGGTCAGTGACACTGCCCTCCACAGCTAAGATGCTGAACAACAGCTCAACCTGGAGCTGGGCTGCCGTGAGTCGCTGACAACGGCGTAGGCTGCAACCCCTGTGGCAGTAGGTTGCCATGGGCTACCGTGTGTGGCCAGCAGCCGCAGTGAGCGGCCGTCCAGAAGCCGGCGACTGATCTGCCTCGCCCGGGAAGAGCGCAATGATGGTGCCAACTTGGGCCAGTGAAGCAACGTCCTCCACAACTAGACTGAAGAACAAAACGACAGCAACTTGTCTGTTCCCCTTCCCCCAATTCCCCAATAAAAATCTTTAAAAAAAAAAGAAGTTTAAATCCAAAAGATCACTTGATTCCAAAATAAATCAAATATACTACCATAAACTGGAGTCTAAGCTCATTTTAAGGGGAAAAGAGAACTAATAAGTCATTAAAAACAAATTGGTATAAAGTATTAGAGCTAAAACTCCTAGAAGAAAACAAAGGGATAAATCTTCATGAACTGGGATTTAGCAATGAATTCTTGGATATAACTCCAAGGAGCAACAGAAGAAAAATATATAAATTGGACTGCATCAAAATTAAAACTTTTGTACATCAAAGGACATTACTGGATATGGAATATATGGGGAAAAGAAAAGAAAGTGAAAGGACAACCTACAGAATAGAAAAAAATATTTATATATCATAATACATAAATATTACATATATGATATGAGTTTAATGTCCAGGATATATAAAGAATTCAATTTTAAAAATTCTAATGGGCAAAAGACTTGAATAGACAACAACAGTAACAATAATGGAAGAAAATACACAAATGGCTGGTTAGCACATGAAAAGATGCTCAACTGTATTAGTCATTAGGAAAATGCAAATCAAAACCAAATTTACACCTACTAGGATGGCAAAAGTAAAGAAAACAGAAAGTAACAAGTATTGACAAGGATGTGGAAAACTGGAACACTCATTTGCTGGTGGGAATGTAAAATGGTGCAGCCTCTGCGGAAAACAGTTTGATGGTTCCTCAAAAAGGTAAAAAGAATTACCGTACAACTCAGCAATTCCACAGCTAGATATATGCCCCAAACAACTGAAAGCAGGAACTGAAGCAGATACTTATAATGCTAATTTTGGTACAGCTAAAATTTGAACTACAATTAAAATAAATATTATCAGATAACTTCATCCTTAATATGTTCAACAAAATAGAAAAATCAAATTAACAAAGAACCAAAAAATAGCAGATTTTATACAGAATATAAATGTTGACATTCTTGTTACAGAGCTGCTAATAAATTTTGAAGCACTGAATAATTATATGACAGCCATATGTTAAGCTTTTAAAAAAATGTTAAGACGTATATAGCTTATAAGGCTACTGTATTTTCAGTACTTTTATAAAATTAATAAATGAATTTTCTGACATTCTAAAAGTAATCTATATCCCTCATTCTTCAAAGAAAAATGCCCTCAAATCTTAAACACACATATAATATGTTAAAGAATACGGCAGTCTTTAATACTGGCAATTGGTTAGACAAGGGAATATATTTGTAAGTATCTTAAAAGAAATAGCTAAATTTAGAATGGTGACTTTCAGTTCTTTATTCTTGAAAGAATTACTTAAAATTTTACAAAGATACAAGTTAAAGGAGAAAAAACAACTTTTATGGGTATATACTTCATTGCTATAAGTTCACTATTTTAGAATGGGAAACAAAATGTACATTCTCTCTCTCTTTCTCTCTCTCTCTCACTTTTTAGATCCACCCAACTAAACAGTTGTTGACAAATCAAGGGCACTGAATTCCAACTTAAGTAATTTTATAAAATACTGCCACTAAAGAAAAGTACTAAAATAATTAACATGGTCATAGTAACACCTACTTACTGACACTTACTGTATGAAAATTTATCATTTCTTGAAGGCTGTCAGAAAACTTGGTCAAACTTGTCTATGAGAAAGAAATAAAAAGAAAACCATGTCATTTAAGAGCCACTAAAATAGGCCACAAAAATGTTACTTCAGCATTTCTGACAGAAACATCAACTTACATTGTAAACAATAACATTTATTCCAAGGACAGTCTCACTAGATCATGGGCATGCTCTGCAGAGGTCAAGTCTACATGTAGCAACATAAAACCCTAGAACAGTCAAAGAATTAGTACTGCTCTATCAGTAGTACTATGCTAGCAAATAGGAATGGAATACATAAACCTAAAAATAAAATGGAGTGTATCAAGACTGTGCTCATTTACACATCTATAGATCAAATAATCATCAAATTATACCCATTTCAATACTTATTAATCCTCATGAAATAAATATAATACCACAAAGTATATCAAGGGGGCTAAGCTAACCCAGCATTGCTAGCTGACCAAAACTTTCCTATGCAGCACCCCAAATGTACAGTTAGATACTATTCTTAGGTTAATGCTCTCTGCTTGCCTCTATAAGCAGATACTAGGTAAGTATCATCCTGCTCTCCCTGCTCAAGCCCTCTCATAGATGCTGCAGCTCACCTAGTAGCAAGTAAACATGATCACAATGCAAATTGATCATCAACTTCTAACTATCCAAGAAAATAGAATTATACAAGATAGCACCGACCAGTGACAGCTTTTCTACTTCTAATTTTAAAGACCACTGTAACTCTTCATAAGGCAAATGGATGCATAATTGATTAATGTCTTATTGCATTTATCATTGTAACTAGTTTTAAAATACTAACCTCAACTACAGCATCATTACTAGAATACTGTGCCAGGTCTCGAATCCCATTCATGAACTGTTTATTTGCAACACAAAAGGCTTTTCCAGTATCAATCATGGCAATACAAAGCTTCACAAGCTGAAAAAGAAAAACATTACATCAGGTTGGAAATAATGTTACAAGTTATTTAGTTGCACAAGTAAATTCATAGGACAGTTGTACCAAAAAAGTTGACCTTCCAGGATCCAGAGGTTGTCTGATAACAACAACAAAAAATCATTTTATCAAGTCAAATTCTATCCCATAAATTCACTCCATAAAAATTTATCAAAACCTCTTCAAAAGAAGAAAAGGGAATTTCAGGCAGAGCAAGCAGTATGGTAAAAGATATTCAAATTTTTTGAAAACAGTGGTATGCTGAAGGAAAGGGGAGTAAACTGGTATGCTGGGTTAGTAATGCTGGTCATTTCAATATCAGCCTATCAAAGCAAAATGTCTAAATTGATTAATCAACCATGCCTGTCCAACGCCCACTGTTCTGGGCATTGTGCTAAGGCTCAGGACTGAGTCTTTTTCTCTCTTTCTCTCTTGTTCTCTCTTTCACTTTCATTCCTTTCTTCCCTCCTTCCCTCTATTTCTTTCTGTTTTCCATTCCTTCTCTTTTTCTCTTCTTTCTTCCATTCATACACAGAATATTTTCTTTAAACAAATAAAATCTTGGATGAATGATAAATATAAAAAAGATAAAAGGGGAGCTGTAGATGAAGAAGGGAAGAGTGCTGAGGGGGTGGAAGGAAAGGAACACCAAGAAGGGGATAAAGAGCCCAGAAACGCTTTAGAAAATACCTAAAGGATCTCAGGAGTATAATTTAAAACTGTTGCCCTAGGCCTTGAAAAAAAGAAATTGAAAACATAATCTCTGCTCTCAGGAGCTCTAACTCTAATCAGAAGACAAGTAGATAAATTCTAAACAGCACAAACACAATGCTATGCATGACAAAACTATATGAGGGAACAAAGGACGAGCATCTAACTAGGATTGCTGTGAGGATCAGGAAGGGTTCCTGGGAAAGGTAACACTTAAGAACAAGTCCTAAAGACCAACAGGAATTAGCCAATCTAACACAGATAATGAGAAGATGCTACTTACTCTAGAAAGAGCATTTGCTAAGGCCCAGGAGCACAGGGCAAACCAGAGGCACTAAGTACCTTAGTGCAGTGAAAATGTATACAAGGCCCAGATCAGGAAAAGCCTTGGATGTGATACTAAGCTGTTCACATTTTATATGAAGGGAAATGGAAAACAAAGACATTATTGGGTGAGCTGACCAGAGTTCCATTTTAGAATGATGACCTAAAAGGAGAAAAACTAAAGACAGGGAAATATTGTAGAAAGAATAAATAAGAAGAGATTAAACCAAAAACCATGAGAGCTTGAATTAAGGTGGTATGCAGGGAGAAAAGAGGCGAAACAAATTCAAGAATTACAGTCAAGTAACTTCTCTAGTTCTGCAGACTATATCCTACAAAGGGGAAAAATAGGGGCTGAAATCCAGCCTGAGCGCTGCTTGCATCTTCTACAAAACGCAATTTCACAATTTCACACAGACACTAAACTACCCAGCAGACTCTGTTTTAACAGTGTTGGGCCTGTGAGGTGGGCCTGAGCTAGATGGGTTTGTGAGATCAGCCTAAATGGAAAGTCTACAAACTCCAGTAAATACAGATGTATGAAGCTCAGAAAACAGGAGTGTGCTACAGATACAGATCAGCAAATCATATCAGTGCTACAGTGCTTTATTGTAGTCAGCACAGGGTAGAGCATGTAGACTGAGGACCCCACAAAAAGAGACTAAAACAGAAGGGAAACGTAGGAGGGAAAGAAAGAGAATAATTTCACCAAAGTCAATAAAGAAGAAAATATCAAAAGATGGATGATGAATAAGTTGAAAATCCTTAAAGGTCAAGTTTTAAAAGAGTTTGGTGACAAAGAGTCACTAGCATCCCTGGCAAGAATAATTTTAAAAGAAAGTGACTGGGGGGAGGGTAGCCAGATTACAGCCAGTTATGAAATGTAGATGAAGAAGACATAATGATAGGTCAATGTTTCTCAATATATAGTCTACAGAATATCCTGCAGGAACATTTTGTACCAAAATAAGGATTCTGTGATCAAATAAGTCTGGGAAACTCAATTTAAAATGTTAAAAAGTTTTCTTAATTATAAAACTTCTAAGAGCTTTTGATATATTAATGTGTATTGTGAATCCTAGAGACTTAAATATGCAGCATTTCTCAAAGATATCTGATATGGAATTTTCTTTACAGGAAGCATTCTCACAGGACCAACGTTCCACAAAACCCAGTGTGAAAATGCTAGCAGAAAATAGACTTTTTAAATAGTTTGCTAATTACAAAATAATGTCTTAAAAACCAGGAAAAAAAATCTAAAATACATATGGAGTAATCAACAGCAAAAAGAAAAAAAAAATTGAAAAAGTATTGGAGTGGGGACATTAGTCCTATATGATATTAAAACAGATGCAGTAATTAAAAGTCTGATAATGGATGTGAATAGACAAATTGAGCAGTGGACTAGAGTCAAGAAACAGATATAAATACTATACAGTACTTGACTAAAGTAATGTTCCAGCCAGTGGAGGGAAAAATTATCCAATAAATGACAAAGGTACATTGGACAACCATTTAAAGGGGAAAAGGAACGAAAGAAACTAAGATGGATTCCAAACCCCCAAATTAATTTCAGATGCAATAAAGATTTAAATATAGAAAATTAAATCAGAAAACTAAGAAGAAACAGGAGGTAATATTTTTATAACCTCAAAGATTATGAAAGACTTTTTATAACCTAAGAAAGATGCAAAACTCAAAAGGCAAAGAAGAAATTGATCAATTCAACTAATGAGAACAAAATAGTTCTACAAGGGAAAAAAAACAATAAACTTAGTCAAAAGACAAATGACAATATGGGAAAGCAATATTAGCAGCTAATCACAAAGGATTAATTTCCCTACTATCAGAAAGGGTCTACAAGTCATTTTTGAAAATCCACCAGGCACTAAAAAATGCTTGACAGACATGTCTAGATAATTTCCAGAAAAGGAAATTCAAATACATCTTATGACCAAGAAAAGCAATTCAATCTCACTCATAACAAAAGAAATGCAAATTACTGTTTTTTACAGAACAGCAAAGATCAAAAACATGCTGTTTTAAAGACAGTAGGTAGGGGAAATAAGCACTCTCACACATTGTTGGTGGGAGTATAAGTACAATTTCTATGACAGGCAATTTAGCAGTGGCTATAAAACTTTTAAACACACATACCCTCCAAGCTAGTATTTCACTTTTTAAAATGTTATCATACAAAAATGTATCATACAGTTATATTTGCACATAAGCCATATGACACACATGTAAGGTCAATCACTGAAGCCAGTGTAAAACACTGGTAGTAATCTAAGTGTCCATCAGTGGGCAACTGGATTAAAAAATTATGATAAATCCATACAATGAAATATAATTCAGCCACTAAAAAGAATGAGGCAGCTCAATAACTAATAAGAAGGCACAACATCTAAACATAAATATTTTTTAAAAGCAAATTGTAGGATAGTGTTGATATTTTTGTTGAAAGCAGGGAAAGAAGAATACAAGTCCATTCTTATATATGCTTAGAAAATTTCTGAAAGGACACACAAGAAACTAGTTCAATATTCTCCTTTAGGAAAGAGATCAGAAGATGATTTTTCACTGGGTATGTATTTTTGTACCTTTGAATTTTGTACCACATAGGTGGTAGTAAATAATTAAATAATTCGAAAAATAATTAAATTAAGTTTCCATAAAAACAGAAAAAGACAGGTTGGTAGTATAAGATAATGGTTAAAAACACAGGGTTTTAACATGGGTTAAAAACACACAGAGAGCCCAGAAATAAACCTACGCTCATATGGTCAATTAAAATACAGCAAATGAGGCAGTAATATACAATGGGGAAAAGACAGTCTCTCCAATAAATGATGTTGGGAAAACTGGACAGATACATACAAACGAAACGAAACTACTTTCTTACACCATATACAAAAATAAATTCAAAATTGATTAAAGACTTAAATGTAAGACTTGAGACCATAAACCTCCTAGAAAGAAACACAGGCCATAAACTCTTAGACATCAGTCCCTGCAATGTTTTTGGCTATGTCTCCTCAGGCAAAGGCAACAAAAGCAAAAATAAACAAATGGACTACATCAAATTACAAAGCTTTTGCACAGCCACAGCAAAGGAAACCATCGACAAGACAGAAAGATGACCTCCTGAATGAGAGAAGATACTCACCAATGATACATCTGATAAGGGGTTAATATCCAAAATATATAAAGAACTCATACAACTCAACACCAAAAAACAAAACAAAAAAAACTATGCAATTAAAATATGGGCAGAGGACCTGAATAGACATTTCTCCAAAGAAGACATATAGATTGCCAACAAATGAAAATATATTCAACATCACTAATCATCAGGAAAATGCAAATCAAAACCACATGAGATATCACCTCACACCTGTCAGAATGGCTACTATCAAAAAGACAATAACAAGGATGTGGAGAAAAGGGAACCCTTTTTCACTGCTGGTGGGATTGTAAATCAGCGTAGTCACTATGGAAAAACAGTATGGGGATTCCTCAAAAACTTAAAAATAGAACTACCAAATGACCTAGCAATTCCACTTCTGGGTATATAGCCAAAGAAAACAAAAACAATAATTCAAAAAGATACATGCACCCCTATGTTCATTGCATCATTGTTTATAATAGCCAAGATATGAAAGCAACCTAGGTGTCCATCAAAAGATGAATGGATAAAGAAGATGTTGTACATATACACAATGGAATATTACTCAGCCATAAAAATGAATGAAGTCTTGCCTTTTCCAACATGGATGGACCTACAAAGTACTATATTAAGTGAAATAAGGTGGAAAGAGGAAGACAAATGCCATATGATTTCACTTATACATGGAATCTAAAAAACAAAATGAATGAACAAACAAAACAGAAACAAACTCATAAATACAGAGAATAAACTGATGGCTGCCAGAGGGGAGTGGGAT